TTGCCTCATAATGCGCACAACAGACTATCAGTCGGTCGCCTCCAGGATAAAACAGCCACTCTGATTTTGTTGCTCATCGGTTTTGTGAGAAAACCAGAGCTCTATGAACTCACTCTCTCTCATGTTTCTACTCTCCTGAGGTGTCTTTAGAGGGTCTGGGGGGTCTGCTATTTATAGGAGAAGAAAACCCAGAATATTCTCTATTTCTTTGGGAATAAGTCACATTTAATTAGGGAGATAATTACTCCCATAATTAAAATATAATCTATTTAGATAATTAATCCTAATTATCTCCATAATATTCCTTTTATTAATAATTCATCTTATTTCGTATTATGGGAAAATACTGGATAATTAATTAGAAATTTCATTTATAGCTTTTCAAAGCTATTCATCCCAACAATCCCCCACTTGAATAGTTTTGAAACTATCTCTGAGCATCAACAGTTCCATAAGATCGTGCATAAGCTAAGGTATCGCGAAGATTTGAACCTTAGCATAGTGGTTACACTTTCGATTTCATAAGGGTGACTCATAGTCTTGAACCCTATCTCAGACAATGTAGCACACCGGATCTTTTCATTGAGTGATATTTCTCATAGGCCGTGCGTTTATGGTCATGCACGTTATCCCGATTTAGTGAACGCTCTAGCAACTTTGTGCCTCCAAAGTTCCATAGGGAGCAGCCCCACTCCCACATTCACATAGGTGAGTCTATCAGAAGTACCCCCAAAGTAAATTACTCCACCCCACATAGGGTATAGATCTCATTAAGAGTTGTTAACTCAACCTCCATTGCTTTGGGATTCATGCTTCACTATGCATGAACTTTTCGCATACTACTCATGGCTTGTTATTACCCATTGAACCCATTTCTTGGGATCTCCAGTCTATTAGGTCGGGTTACTATCACTTGTAGTCCGTGGTTCGGTAGGCATAAGTCCCGTACCCATGGCGGTATTCTGGACTTTCTCTCTAGGTAATCCTTTTGTCAAAGGATCAGCTAGATTCTGTTAGGATCTTATATGATCCACCCTCACTGCTACTATCGTTAGGAGTTCTCTTACAGTACTGTGCTACGACGAATTTTTCCGTCTCTTTTCGTTCTAGAACCGATTCCCTTCTTTTGTAATAGATGCGGTGCTATCACAATGAATTAACTACTGGAGGGATCAGTCTTTCCCATAAGGGAATCTCTAGTAATGACCCACTCAATCGACTTTCCTCTTTACTAACCATTGCTAGTTTCATCATTTCTGATTCTTTAGTTGATTGAGCCAGGATCGTTTACTTCTTGACTTTCAAGACACAACTCTTCCAACTATGTTTAAAACATGCCTACTGGGTGCCTTGCAGTCCTCTATAGGGTATTCTCGTCCGCATCAATATACCCTACCAATACAGCAAGAACCTTTGATAACTTATATCAAGGTCTACTGTTCTTTTAGGTATCTAATGACCCCTTTAATAGCATTTCAATGCTTAATACTAGGACAATCAGTAAACTTGCCAAGTACCCCCCACTATGTCGGGTCTCATGTTTATCAGCTGCCTCTCGCAGACTGTCGATGCTAGTATGTTCTTACTTTCTTACACCGTCTTTGGTGCTCTTTTAAAACTATACTAGCATCTTCAAACATTTAGGCAAGTGTACAACTTGTATTTCTTATAGATCTTAACCAAACAAATAGATTGATCTTTTTAAAAAATCTCTTTCACTGTCCTAGTCATTTGGACCTCTAAGCGAAACACTTAGAATCCTTCTCATCAAGGTTCTCACTCAACATGGTTTTTCACATTTATTCGTGTCATGAGTCTTTGCAGCAAAGATCAACATGTCTTTTATAGTTTAAGTGTCATTTGTAACGAATGGACTTGTCACTTTCATTCAAAACCATGAGAGAAACCATCCATCCATGCCATGATCTTTAAGTCTATTTCAAATCATACCATGATTTGTCTCACCATCGACTTTAAAAGCATGTTCAGGAATAACAACCCTTTAGGTTGTCCCGTGTAGATTTCTTTATCTAAACCACCATTCACGAAACAGTTTTAACAATCCATGTGACGCACAATACTAGCAATTATACATGGCTATTATTCTAGATGTGGTGAATAGATATAAAAAAAATCCACAATTTTTCATTCTTCGCCTAAAGTTTTAGCTAGTAGGCGATCCTTATACTCATAAACGAAACCATCAGGTTTTAGTTTTTCTTTTTAAGAATCCATTTATTACCTATGGCTTTATTGCCAAAAGGTAACTCTTATGATGCCCAATCTTGTTCGATTCCATCGATATATTACCTAAGACTTTATAGCCAAGAGGTAATTCTACAAGATTCTAAGTCTTACTAGACTCTAAAAATTCCATTTTGTTAATAATGGATTATCCCACAAATCTGCATCTTTATGAAAGTTCAAACTTCTAGCAGACTTGTAGGATCTATCTATCTTAGGGTGTAAACAACAAACTCATAACCAAATCCTTTAATGATTTATGGTTCGTTTGCTTCTTCTGAGTTCAAACTCAGATTCATCACCCCCACTAGTTCCATTACTTCTAATAGTATGAGGGATTCTACCCCCACTATTTCTTAATTTAAATGGAACTATATTGGCATCATCTAGATGGATTAAAAATGAGTATTCAAATCACGAGTCATGTGCATTTTACTATTGAGAACACAATAAAACACACTCATATGTTTTTCTATATCAAATAATTAGTGCAATCATTAATAATGCGATAAAGCATTTCTCAAGTCGTTTCAAATTAGCATCACATATAACTAGACAAAGCACTCTATAGAGCAATAAATAATTTATTGTCTATCACATATTGATGGGTCACACATAGAAGAATTCTCCTTATTTGCTTCCACTTTCCAAGAGCTATCAACAATAGTGGAGAGGGCAGTACCCAACAACACTTTCTTCCTCAACATGCCTCAATGTATGATTGATCTTAGCTCGTTTATCATACACACGCACTTTCTTCCTCAACATGCCTCAATGTATGATTGATCTTAGCTCGTTTATCATACACACGCCTTGAGGCGCTGTATCCAACAACCATTCTATAGATTTACCCTTAAGGTTAACCTCTATTCTTATCTCATTGATCATTGCTACCAAATCCTCTTCTTTAATCAAGTTAACAATGGTACCATGCACGTTCGTGCCATATGATCTAGTTTCCTGTAATCATAACAGAGAAACATAGAATCATTTTAGAGGATTGGGTGACAATCTGTTGCCTAATGGGTGTGGATCTAGTTCAGTTTATTGCTCTCATTCTTGAAACTTTAATATTTCAGAGCAACCTTAGTGGTTCATGTAGTACTAACAATAATACTTCCTACAATATCGTCACTATGGGCAATTAACCCATTCTATTCCCATATATTCTTCATATATATGCACACATTTAAATAAAGGGTTATATGTATAATATGCCCCTCTACTATGACGTTTTATCAAACATGCCCCTCTACTATTTTTTACATCAAACATGCCCCTATGACGTCTAAATCTCAATTCAACCATGATTGACGATTTTTTCAATCGAAATTTTAACAGAAGGGCATGTTTGATAATTTTTTCAAAGTACATGGGCATATTTAATGTAAAAAATAGTAGAGGGACATGTTTGATAAAACGTCATAGTAGAGGGGCATATTATACCTATAATCCTTAAATAAAATATTTCTACTCCACAATATGTACACAAAATTGTACTCTAGTTATTGAGATCGAATGACGTCTCAATGTCAACCTACTCATGCATCAGTTTCAGTTCTATTTTCTTCTCTAGCATTCAATAGGTTTCTCAATTCCATACTCAAATCTATATTAAATAGATTCTAGTTTCGTCATTCATAAATAAATGACTCTTAAGTAAGGTTTCGGTTCTGACCTCTTTTCAAGAAGTCATTGCATTATGAATTAGTAGCAAACAGCTAGCACCAGACATTGTTTTCTTATTTCTTCATAAATTTGCTGGCAGAGGGAAGCTTTGAAAATTGTCTATTTGGAGACCTAGTTCTCCTCGTCCTCATCGTGCTCCACTCCACAACGCTTTCAAAAGTTAGCGCTTAACAGTTAACATCATCACAATATCAATGCGAGCCCTCTAGCTTGCCTTTCGACCTTATAGGCTGAACGAATCATATGCCCTGGGTCTGCTTCCTTGCATCTCTGAGTTTCACCCTTTCATTAGTGAACTCTCCTGTGAAAACTCAGAGAATTGCAAACTGAAAAACTTCATTAGAGTGCAACTACAACCCTTAAATACACCGTGGGATTTAGCCAACAGTTCTGGCTTTCACCACTAACTAAGCATCCTGGAAATCAGCAGCATGATCTCCACAATCAACTACAAAGACTAACTGCTAACATGACTTAATTAACACTAAACAAGACTCAAGGACCAAATCAGCAAATATCCAAACGACAGACAGACAGACTGAACTAAGCAACACGACACCATTTTATTTAGCTAGACTCCCATTTGAACTTTGGCGCCAAGACCAATCCTTCTCCTGCTCGGATTCGGATTGCTCAGCAACTGCAGCTCGACTTCTTCTCTAACAGATCCTCCCCTGAACTGAACCTTCTCACCATCGTTCAGTTCAACCATTTCATCTTCAGACTCCAGCAGCAAACTCATAGACATCACACACTCCCATCTTGCTCCTCAAAAGTTGAAACACTTCTAATCTTAGAGGTTTAGTCATAATGTCTGCAACTTGCTCCTGTGTGCCACAGTGCTCGAGCTCAACCACTCCTTCATTCGCCAATTCCCTGAGGAAGTGAAATCGCACATCGATGTGCTTGCTCCTACCATGAAGCACTGGATTTCTAGACAATTTGATTGCTGAGCTATTATCACAGAAGATGACTGTTGCAGCTTTGACACTCCTCTTCCATCCCATCTGCTCCAAGATTCTTCGAAGCCAAACACATTGTGCTGCACAGTGAGCTGCAGCAACAAATTATGCTTCTGTAGTTGACAGAGTAACAACAGGTTGCTTCTTGGAGGCCCAAGAGATGACTCCACCTGATAGAAGAAATACATATCCACTAGTGCTCTTCCTGTCATCTGTATCTCCAGCATAGTCACTATCAGTGTACCCCAGCAGCTCCTCCTCCCCTTCACACCTTCGTTTATACCAGATACCAAAGCGGATAGTTCCTTTGAGATACCTCAGCACTCTCTTTGCAGCTAACACATGTTGTCTTGTTGGATGCTCCATATACCTGCTAAGAAGGCATACTGAGTACATGATATCAGGTCTTGTAGCTGTCACATATAGCAAGCTTCCAATCAGTTGCTTATACTCAGTGGGATTCACCATTACTCCATCCCCAGCCTTGTTCATTTTGCTGCCAGGACTCATTGGATTATGCACATAATTGCAGTCTAGGAGATTGAATTTGGTCAGCACCTCCTTCACATATTTCTGCTGACTAATGAATACTCCTGATTCCCTTTGAATAACTTCAACTCCCAGAAAATAGTGCATCCTCCCAAGGTCTGTCATCTCAAACTCTGATTGCATTGCCTGTTTGAATTCAGCAATCATCTCAGAGTTGTTGCTTGCATACATTAAGTCATCCACATACAAGCTTAGGATTAGAATGCCATTTCCAGTTTTCTTAATAAATAGTGTATGCTCATAGGGGCTTCTCTCAAAGCCAGACTTGATGAAATAGGATTCTATCCTATTGTACCAGGCCCTAGGAGCCTGTTTCAGGCCATAGAGAGCCTTGTGAAGCCTGTAGACTTTCCTTTCCTCCCCAGCAACCACAAATCCTGGTGGTTGCTCCACATAAACTTCTTCAGTAAGCTCACCATTGAGAAATGCACTTTTGACATCTAATTGATAGATTGAAAGGCCATGATAAGCTGCTAAGGCCAAGAATGTTCTGATGGTGTCCCAACGAGCCACTGGAGCAAACACCTCTGTGTAATCAATGCCTTCCTTCTGAGAATACCCCTTGGCCACAATTCTGGCCTTGAATTTGTCTATGTTTCCATCTTCCTGCAACTTTGTCTTATACACCCACTTCAACCCAATAGCTTCAAAACCTGCAGGAAGTTTAGTCAAAGTCCAGGTATTGTTCCTTTTGATGGAGTGCATTTCTTCCTGCATTGCTGCATTCCACTTGGGATCCAGCATTGCTTCCTCAAAGGTTTGAGGATCATCAGTTACAGCTACCATTGCTACCCAGTCAGTGGTAGTGAAACTCATGTCATAATTCTGGAAATGACTAGGCAACTTGCTGACCCTTTTACCTAAGTTGGCACTTGGGAGTCCCAAGATATCTGTTCCCATGTCCACTTCATCCTCATTAATGATGTCATCACTTGTTAAGCCTCCTCCTCATCCTTCTGGTGTTGCTGGAGTATTGAGTTGTGGTGATTCTTCGATTTGATGAAACCCAGCTCCAAAATCACTTCTAGGATGTGTTCTTCGCACTTTCTCTCTCTAGCTGTCTATGTTTCCATCTTCCTGCAACTTTGTCTTATACACCCACTTCAACCCAATAGCTTCAAAACCTGCTGGAAGTTTAGTCAAAGTCCAGGTATTGTTCCTTTTGATGGAGTGCATTTCTTCCTGCATTGCTGCATTCCACTTGGGATCCAGCATTGCTTCCTCAAAGGTTTGAGGATCATCAGTTACAGCTACCATTGCTACCCAGTCAGTGGTAGTGAAACTCATGTCATAATTCTGGAAATGACTAGGCAACTTGCTGACCCTTTTCCCTAAGTTGGCACTTGGGAGTCCCAAGATATCTGTTCCCATGTCCACTTCATCCTCATTAATGATGTCATCACTTGTTAAGCCTCCTCCTCATCCTTCTGGTGTTGCTGGAGTAGTGAGTTGTGGTGATTCTTCGATTTGATGAAACCCAGCTCCAAAATCACTTCTAGGATGTGTTCTTCGCACTTTCTCTCTCTAGGGCTCTGTTTTTGCTCCAAAAAGTCAATTCTCTCACTTGTGGCTCGAAATTGGGTTAAAACCCAGAAATTCCCGACCACACGGGCAGGCCACACGGCCGTGTGGCTTACCCAGCTGCCCATGTGAGTGTCAAAACGCGGAGTTTCGATTAAGTGGACTTCAGGCTTCCTACACGCCAGGGACACACGGTCGTATGGAATCTCCAGGATGCCCGTGTGAAGGCTCGGTAATTTCCAAACGGCCACATGGGTTCCTTACACGGCCGTGTGGGTTTTAGGAGTGCCCGTGTGGCTTCCTCAGCGTCTCGCCACACGTCCGATCTTCGTCCAATGGACCCTGAACTCGTTCCCAAACCTTCATTCACGTACTAGGACCTGAAATATCACAAACAAGAACAACCTAGCGTGAAATCGGCCTAAAACACGAGAATCAATATCTCAAACGGTGTAAGAATAGGGGTAAAAACATGTACATTTAACGGTCTATCACCTATGGAAATGGAATGGGCCAAAAAGAGTCAAGCATTTTCTGTGGCTTCTCTTGCACGGCAGGACTCTGACCAACAAGGAAGGGACAAGAAGAAAGATTGCAACAAACAATCACTGCAACTTCTGCAAAGACCAAGAAGAAAATATGGACCATATAGTTAGAAATTGTAGCAAAGTCAGAAGTGTATGGGAGAAGTTCCAGAATAAAATTATGGCCAACAACATGAACTTCCCTAAGCACGAGTGTCTGATTTCTAACCTCATAAATGAGAAAACGGCTACTGATTTTTGCATTATTGTATGGCATCTGTGGAGGGAAAAGCGTTCTGGAAGAATGGATTGATTGGAAGAATCCAAGCATGGTTGGGCAGGCTCACACAAACATCCGGAAAACAACTACTGCTAGTTGAGTCACAGGCCAAAGCAGGCTTATTGGCTGGGATCCACCTAGAGAAAGGATGGATCCCGCTACAATCATACGGATACGTCCTCACCCCTACCAGAAAGGCTGCAACCTGAGGTTTATTCAGGGATCACTTGGGAAGAAGTAAAGAAGCCTTTGTCTGCAACCTCGACTCCTGCTCATCAATCACTGCGGCTTAATTGAAATGAGCTCTAGAAGGCCTAAAGATCACCTGAAAAGAAGGCTACCAGAGAATCCAGCTAAAGCTTGACTCCATGACGGCCATTAAGATCTTCAAACAACGCCATAGAACGATCACCGTTGTAGTAGTTTGGCAAAATAGTTTTGTTTTTATTTGAATCTTGATTGGTAAGTAAGTGTTTCTCATGTTTTTAGGGAAGCTAATTTTGAGGCCGATTACTTGGCAAGCAAGGCTCATGACTTTTATCAGTGTCCATGAAACTGTACCGTACTGGCGGTTCAACCACAAAATACCAGTATCGGAGGCTAAACCGGTAGGCGGTATTTAACGGTATAACGGTTGAACTAATATTAAACCACGATTTTACCATAAAATATCCTATCGCTGACTTTTCCGGTACGATTTCATAGACCATGCTTTCATTTTGGCACACTTCCCTTCAATGTGTGCCATAGAGACCTTGTTCAATGGCTTCGCCGATTGCCATGATGTTCTGGGAATCTTCCTTGATCATTATTTACATAATGTGCTCTAGATGCAATGCGTCTATCTTTCAACAAAAAAAAAAAAAGATAGTCTTAGCATGTTCCCTTCTCGTGTAGAAATTTTATTAGATAAGAAAAAACCAGAGACGTGATCAATGTAGTCACAATCGCGCTTTAAAACTTAAAAACTTACTATTTTACGTTTCTAGGTCGCTAAAATGCTTCTACACAAAATCTCAGTTTTTATAACTTATGTAGTTAAGAACTCCGTTTTAGAACTTAAAAACGTACGATTTTACACTTTTAGATCAGCAAAACGTTTCTACGTAGAAACTCGCTTTTGACTACATTGGACGTAATGCTTTGACTTGTGCCGTTTCTTGCCATGTTTTGTTTGTGCATTGTTTCAGCTTCTATAAAGATCTCTGTAGTAGGGTTATTATATTGAATGGTTTGTTTCTTTTTTTATAGGAAAGTGGTGTGCTTATTTTAATTTTTCTAATTTGCTATAACTTTCCAGGTTCTAATTGTTGATGTTGTTTAGATCTCATATTCTTATTTTTTAATATCTTTGCCTATCTTCCTTTTTGTGTAGTTTGTTTGCTCGATGTTTATGCGGCTGCATATGCCTTCTAAAATTCCAATTTGGTCTGCTTTTTATTTCCTTACCTAGAGTGGAGTGCTCAGAGCTAAGCAAAGTAGAGCATTTTTTTTATGAATATGGAAGTTAGTGATAATTAACATTATACCTACATGCGTGTAGGACTGCAAATGCGATCAGCCGTTTACGAGCAGGCCAGCCACTTCAATTTTCTCATACTATTTTATAAATAAATAAAAATATCATACTAAGTGTGGGTCAGGTCAAGTTATACTCGCAGTATACAGGATGGGTAAATCTATTTTTATATGTTATTTGAAAGAAGAACGTTTGTATTTCGCATTACGCACCCAGATGAGCCACACTTTACAAGAAGACATAGAGAAAACACTTCATGAACGATGAGAGATATAGTAGAAAGAATAATTGAGTCTAAATAGTTGAAAGATAGAGTTTTAAAATTTCCTTACGGATAAAAATATGATTTTAGAAATATCAGGTCGAGAACGAGGTGTGACAGGTAGAAAACAATACACATGCCCAGTCTCACCCTACTATGGTTCAAGTAATACCCATCCCAAACAAGCAGCTCGACGTCTGGCTCGAAAAAAATTCGTTCAAACTCGACTCATTTACTAACGAGACAAATTTGAACTAAACTTTGTTCAACTTATAAGGCTGGCGAGCCAGCTCGACTTGGTCCTTTGTTGAGCTCAACTCGTGAGCATGCTCATTTTGAGCTCATGATATTGGTTTGACATTGTGGCTAGCGAGCTGACTCAACTATTGGCTTGAGTGAATCGAACTATATGTTATGAGTTGGCTTATTCATAATTCATAGACGTGTTAAAGTTTATGTTTAACAGTTTGAATATGTGAACAAATATACATCATTTATAATGTAAAAAAGAAGTTATGTATCATATATGTATTCAGATACTAATTACTATGAAATAACATTATATGAACTAGTTAAAATTTATGAACGAAATCATAAGATACCAACATAGTATATAAACATTGGATCAGTCCATGATGAAAAATTGACTATTATTCTTTCTTTTTATAATGATGATATCAATCACATCTATCATGCATACACATTCAAATATTATATTATTTAATTTATAAATAATTTTAG